CACTCACTCTAGCCCGGGCGACAGAGCGAAACTCAGTCTCCGAAACAAACAAACAAAAAATACTAGGCCCCCAGAGCCTCCCCGGGTTTCCTTCTAGAACGTTCTGTGGAGGCCAGGCCTGGCCTCAAAGTTTACCTCTCCATGCCGTCCCCGATCAGCTCTTCTCCGTCCTCCTCTTCGTCCTCCAGGGGCCCCTGTGTCCCCAGGAGTCCCTCGGACTCATCCTCAAAGGGGGGCAGGTCCCGGCCGGGGCTGGAGGTCAGGGCCTCTACCCGCCGGGAGCCGAGGCCGGGACTGGAGGCCCGGGGGTCGTTGGCCCGGCGACGCCGGGCGGGGCTGGAGGCCAGGGTGAAGGACTCGGACGACTCCTGCAAGACAAGATGCCACCGTCAAACGTCTGGGAAAGGGAGCGAGGCCAGACTCAGCCTCCCTTTTTTATGGCGGGGCGGCCTCCTCCCGGCCAGCCTCCACTGTGCTCTGCGACAGCCCGAGCCCCTCCCGGCCCCGGGACACTTGCTCCCGCTGTCCCTCCAGCCTCGGGCGTGTCTCACGCGCTGTCCCCCCGGCCCGCAAGGCCAGCTCTTGCTGAGGCTGGCCTCCAACTCCCGGCCTCCAGCGAGCCTCCCGCCTCGGCCTCCCAGAGTGCTGGGGTGACGGGCGTGAGCCTCCGCGCCCGGCTAGTACTTTTTTTTTTTTTTGCTATATATGAATGTATACAGTGAGCGCCTACCATGTGTATGCATGAATGCATACAGTGAGTGCCTACTGTGTGTGCATGAATGCATACAGTGAGCGCCTGCTGTGTGTATGAATGCATACAGTGAGCGCCTACTATGTGCACGCATGCATACTGTGAGCGCCTGCTGTGTGTACGCATGCATACAGTGAACTCCCAAGCCTACTGTGTGTGCATGAATGCATACAGTGAGCGCCTGCTGTGTGTATGAATGCATACAGTGAGCGCCTACTATGTGCACGCATGCATACTGTGAGCGCCTGCTGTGTGTACGCATGCATACAGTGAGCTCCCAACCTGTGCGCAAAGGCATACGGTGAGCGCCTCCTGTATGTATGCATGAATACATACAGTGAGCGCCTGCTGTGTGCGCAAATACACACAGCGCCTGCCCTGCGCCCGAATGCATACAGTGAGCACCTACTGTGTGTATGTGCGAATGCATACAGCGAACGCCCGTTTGTGCGAATGCATACAGTGAGCGCCTGCTGTGTGCGCGAATGCATATAGTCATCCGTGTGCGCCAATGCACACAGTGAACGCCTGCTGTGTGTATGAATGCATACAGGGAGCGCCTGCTGTGTGCGTGAATGCATACAGTGAGCGCCTGCTGTGTGTACGCATGCATACTGTGAGTGCCTATTGTGTGGGCGAATGCATAGTGAGCCCTGTGCATAAATACATACAGTAAGCGCCCGCCACGTGCGCGAATGCATAGCATGAGCGCCTTCTGTATGCATGCATGAATAGTGAGCACCTGCTGTGTGACCCAATTCATACAGTGAGCGCCTCCTGTATGTATGCATGAATACATACAGTCAGCGCCTGCTGTGTGCGCAAATACACACAGTGAGCGCCTGCCCTGCGCCCGAACGCATACAGTGAGCGCCTGCTATGTGCCCAAATACATACAGTGAGCGCCCGCCGTGCGCCCGAACGCATAGCGTGAGCGCCTGCTGTATGCACGCACGCACGAGCGCACACAGTGAGCGCCTGCTGTGTGCGCAAATACACACAGTGAG